GTACTGTACTGTACTGTACTGTACTCTCTCCTCACCCTACAAAACCTCTCCTTCTCATCTGTGCTGGAAGAACTGCGCTGTGCTGTACAGTACTGTACATGATTCTACTGCACTTGTACAGTACCGTACAGCACCGCTGCTGTAACCTGAGGACATGCAACTTCGACCAGGTTTGGTGCACCCATTACGAAGGTCCGAAGAGAGTTCTCTTCAAAGACGCTGCGTTGCAGGGCATGATCCCTGGCAAGCCCGTCAAGCCCACGCAAGCAAAAATGCTCCAGAGTCTGCGTTCCACGCTGGGCTTGCCGTCCGAGCCATCCATAAGCCCTCCACCCCAGGACACGCCCTCCTTGAACGCTGGCAGCACGCTCATCCCCGTGGAGAACAATCGTTGTGCACGCACCACCACGACACTCACCTGGGCCGATGGCACCATGGGACGAGCCTACGTCACCGCGTCGCCAAAGATGCTCCCAGCACGTGCGATTTCCGAGATGAACGACGAACTGGGTGGTATCATGCACATTGCCAGCAACCACGATTCTCACTCGCACATGTGGACAGCCGAGACAATGTCGCACTTCCTGGAATTTCTAAAGAAGGAGCTCAGGCGCAAACGCCAGTCCCTGGGCCTGGATGCCACGCACAAGGCACTGGTGCTGTGTGACGCCGCGTCTGTGCACTCCACTGCGCGGTTCACCAAGATTCGCAAGACCTTCGAGAAGGAGGCGGATGTTGCAGCGCAGTACAGTACAGTACTGCACAGTACAGTAGTGTGCTGCCAGTTCAGTACAGTACAGTACTGTAGTGTAAAGTGCGGATCCAGTGTATGGTTCTACTGTATACTGTGTAGCCCTACTGTACTGTACAGTAATGCCGTCCTGTGCTGTACAGTACTGTACTGTACTGTACTGTCAGTACTGTACTGTAGATTGCGGAGCCAGGGTGGATTGGGGAGTGTACTGTACTGTACTCTCTACAGTACTGTACAATACAACACAGCACAGTATAGTACTGTACATTATTGCAGTACTGTGCAGTACTTTCTGATGGATTTGACTGCAGTTAGCATATAATGTAGTACAGCCGTCCACGGCCGCGGATCAGGCAAATGCAATCGTGATCCACGGCAAGGACGAGGATGGCGACGGGCTGCACATTCCTGGAGGCTGGGGTGCAGCGGGGGCACCCAATGATGCATGGCATCATTTTTTTCACTCCCTTCGGCGGAGTTGGATGCGGGTCGCATCGGGTTCAGCAGACATCGCAGCCTTGCGGCGAGTGTTGCACACAACTGACATTTCCGTGGACGGCAACCCCAGATTTGAGCCCTCTGCACGCAATACTCAGTACTGTACAGTACAGTACACTACTGTACTGTAATTTGTAGTATTGTTATTTTGTAATGTATAACTGTACTGTACTGTACTGTACTGTACAGTGCTGTAATGTACAGTGTTGCTTGCTCTATCACAAGGTGCTGCAGCAGGTGTATGTACCTACTGTAAACCCTAACTCCCAAAGCCTAAAACCTACAGTACTGTACTGTTAACCCTGTACAGTACAGTACAGTACTGTACCCAGGCTGACGATCCAGAACAGCTTACGAGCAGACGCATTCGCCCTCCAGCAGATCGAAAATTACCGCAGTGGCAAAATCCTGGCGTGGGCATGGGTCAGTCGAGGGCTGGTCACCAAGCAGCAGTTTGCTGATGCTCGCTTCGGCGGGGACCTGGTGAAGGCTGAGGCTGCCATGAAGTCCGCTCCAAACGAACTCAGTGAGATCATCAACGTGGAACTCACCAAGGAGATCTCGCTAGAGAAGGAGAGCAAGGCCATCCAGGAGGCAGATGAGCCGCTGCCGGGCGAGGTTAGCAGCGTGTGGTGCATCCAGCGCAGCGCGGACTCCGGACTCATCCCGCTGCCGCACTGGTTTCGAGTCCCGCTACAGCACGCCCTGTGTGACTGGGTGGAGCAAGCAAAGCAGTGGGACAAGAAGCTGGAGGAGAGACACCACGCTGGCAAGGAACTGACCCCCAAGCAGCAGGCCAAATACGATGCCTGGATTTCCCACGCACAGAGACCACTCGTGTTCAACAAAAAGACTGGGCGCTTGGTGGTCAATCCCGGCAAGGAGACACTCTCCAAACTGAAAAGGACTGTCTTGTCGTGATCCTGCACCTTTCTCGCCACGCCGGGGAGCTTAAGTTGACAGCAGGCAACGGGCAGCTGTATCAGCTGAAGCTGCTTGAGATCCCCGCTTCCACAGCCTCCAGCACAAGTGCGGTGCCTGAGCAAGTGGACCATTTCTCAGGCGAGCGACTCGTGCAGTACAGTCAGTACGTACAGTACAGTACAGTGCGTACAGTAAAGTACAGTACAGTACTGTACAGTACAGTAATGTACAATACTTACTGTACTGTACAGTACAGTACAGTACAATATTGTGCTTCGACGTGCTTTGTCCCGCTGTGGGTTACAGTAGGTTGGCTGTTCTTGGTAGCGGGGTACTCTACATGAAACTGCAGATTATGGAGGACAGCAGTCATTGGAAACCCGCAGTTAGCATATGTTTGGGTTCTCCCGCCCATCCAACGGTAGCATAGGCTGCAGTGCAGTACAGTACTGTACATTGAACACAGTACCGTACCGTACTGTGCAGTACAGTGCGTGCTGTGCTCTGCGGTGCTGCAATATCGACGATCATGCCAGGTGACATGCTACACCATGACGGAGATGATCAGGAGGACGAGGATGGCAGTGAGGATGATGAGGCTGATGAGCTCGCGACGGGGGTCGAGCCAGAGTCAGAGTGGGTGGACCCTGACGCGAAGGCGGCCGCTGAGGACGAAGGGTGGGGCGACTTGCCAGATAGCGAGTCTGACGAGGATGCAGACGAGCCGGAGGCAGTGAAACCCAAGCAGCATTGCCCTCATGTCCAAGCGCTGCGACAGCAGCCCGAATTCATCAGGCTGCGTGACCTGAATTTGCACACCCGTCCGGATGGCTGCATCCTCTCCATCCACTTGGACGGGCGATGCTGGCGGTCGCAGGTGGATGGCTACCCCCACTACTCGCGCAGCTTCAATGGGGTGAAATCCCGGAATTCGTGGCAGGCGCTGTTGCGGGTGATGGAGCTGATGTTGCAAGATTATTGCGCATCGCACTCATCCGACAAGCATGCAAAATCCCAGCTGAGCAAAATCAGAAAGCTGCGGGCCGAAGAGCCTGCGCATGACGACTGAGCCTGAGCTCTACAGTCCAGTAATGTACTGTACTGTACTGTACAGTAAGTGATTGTAGCAGAGCTCTGTGCAGCACAGCACAACGCAATACTGTACAGTACAGTACCGTACTGTACACAGTACTGTACTGTACTGTAATACTGTAAGTACATTATTATATTGTTGCAGTACACTACAGTACATTGCAGTACTGTACAGTAATTTACAGCACAGTACAGCACGGTATACAGTAGACTAGCCGAAGATCACGCTCCTTTGAGTACAGTCCAGTAGTCGTGCAAACGCAGCTGGGAGCCTGCCACATGCAGTACAGTATAATTCAGTGCCAGCACTATGGAAGGGGGGCGACAGCAACATCAAAAAACGCAGAGTGCTTTGATGTTCTTTGCTTGTCAAACAACCATGGCTGTGCCTGCAAGTGGTTCATGGATTCCTTTTTGTTACCGTCGCGTGCGATCCTGCGCCGAGGTGTCGATGGTGGCCTCCTACCTACGGCACGCTTCAGGCAGAAGAGGAGAGTGACACAGCAGAGGGTACAGTACTGTAAAGGGCCACTGCACTGTACTGTAGCGTACTGTACNNACTGTACTGTACTGTACTGTACTACAACCCTTTAACATTGTGTGTCGGATGCCCCCAGAACCCCTGTACAGTAAAGTACAGTAGCGGCATCAGAAAAGCCTTCAACGCTTCTTGTATAATGTCTGTTGTCCAAACCTGCAACGAACCGCAGATAGCATATATTCCAGTCCAACCAACCAACCAACTGCCTTCGAACCTACAGTACAGTGCTGTACTGTACAGTAAGCCCTACTGTACAGTACAGTGAACCCTAAACGAAGTATAGTACTGTAGGTGTTTACCGCAGTGTGATTCTTATCGATGTTACTGTACTGTTCAATAAAAAACTATGGAAGTTGTTTTTTAAAGTTGAATGCCCATAACATCAAACACATAAGGGATTACAGTACAGTAATAATTTTGTTGCTATTTTCAGGTGCCCATCTTTGTATCGAGGATCGCATTATGGAAGTTGCTTTTAAAGTTGAATGCTCATAACATCAAACACATAATGGAATACAGTACAGTAGTAATTTTGTTTGCAGTACAGTACTGTACTGTCTTTGTATGTCATGTCATGTCATACAGTATATGCCTCATATCATGTAATTGCGGCAGTTTGTGGGGAGGTTACGAATACGCTAACTGCATTTTGTACTGAGATTCACTGCAGTTATGCTACTTTTCAGGTGCCCATCTTTGCATCGAGGATCACAGCACTGTATGGAAGTTGCTTTTAAAGTTGAACGCCCATAACATCAAACACATACAGTAATGGATTACAGGAATAACATGGTTTACAGTACTGTACTGTACTGTCTTTGTATGTCATATCATGTCATACAGTATATGTGTCATATCATGTACAGTAATTTCGGCGGTTTATGGGGAGGCACGAATATGCTAACTGCATTTTGTACTGATATTCACTGCAGTTATGCTACTTTCAGGTGCCCATCTGTGTATCGAGGATCACATATGCTAACTGCACTTTATTGCATATGCTAACTGCGTTTTTTGGTGTTTTTACTAGGTATATTGCTGCTTTTCAGGTGCCCACACGAGAAGATAGCATATTTTTGACCCCCTATATATGCTAACTGCGGTTACAAAATTTGTCTAATTTCCACCCGGGATCCCAGACAGCATCATATGCTAACTGCACTCCCAATAAAACGCATATGCTAACTGCTGCGCCGGGAGTGTACCTAGGAAAATAGAAGGATGCTGAAGGTTTC